CGCCCACATGTCTCGAGGCTAGGGGCCCCCCCCCTAGCCCCCCCCCTTGCCATGGCTAAGGGCAAATGGGTGGAGTTGCTCTAAGAAGAAGAAGAAAACCTTAATTTCTAAATGGGAAAGTGTTCCTTTTTATTGGGGGAAGAGAGAGAGAGAGAAAGGGGCATTGCCTCTACGTTGTTTCTTCAATATGGGACGAAAGAGTCCTTTTGTGGACCTCGCATGCGAAAGTTCCCTCCTTGTATCCATCTGAGATTCACATTTGTGATTCATCTAGTATTACAGAATATTTCATACTTGCCTCAAAATTTGAATATAAGATTTTTGAAATGCACACAAATAGTAAATACTATGTCATACTCCACGGCAGCAACCAGAAAGAAGACAGGTCCTCATCACAAAATCATAGAAGAAAAACCCATAAGAAGAATAAGCTCTCCAATGTTTCTCATTCATATAGTATTTCTTTGACTATATTCCCTAGAAAATAGTGGCCAAAGGAAGATCAATATGTCTGAGTTAAGTCTCCCACTGTGTCCATATGCGCTATAGACTTGGAGCCAGTTTGGCGTTGATGTGCTGTAAAAATAATCACTATCAGATTTGCTGTGAGAGAAATCAGCTGTGAAAAAAAGCATCAAAAAATAAAAGCAGCTCATCACCTGCTTTCCCTGATTGCTTTCTCTCATAGCAATTATTCAAAATAAGTGATTTTATTATCTTTTACCAACAGATTGTGCTTTCAAAATTTTCAAAATAATCACTTATAGCCTCAAATAAACAATGTCAAACGGACACTTGGTATTGTAGATAATCCTCTTTGGTAGGCTTTGTTGCCTTAAGATAACAGAAGGTAAAATAAGAGAGCAATGTATCTGCACGCGTGATTAATCGTGGAGATGTGGGGACAAAATTACTTCCAAAATGCGATGCGAGGAATAGGGTTTGGGTGGATCCCTATAAGCTATGTATATTAGGTTTTCTACTTTCAAAGTTTCAATTATCAGCATTGTCCCCCATGCTTTCCTATCCTTTATTTAAATGTCGGTTCTGGATCAGATTACTACTAGTAAAAATGAGTATTTATGCTCTTCATTTAAGTCTTACTCAAAAACACATATGGTTTGCTTAAGAATAGCTTTTTTAGTGTATTCCGATTTTCTTCCGTTTACTAACACATGAATATTAAAATTACTTCGATTTTCCATTTACTAACACATGAATATTGAAATTAATCGGAATCCAAATTTACCATGCTTTTACTAACCAGACTCCACAAGTCTAATCCTTTTTGTCCGGCAACACAGCACAAGTCCAATCCCACGACAAAACCAAACCAGTGTGAATAAACAAAGAACAAGAACGCCTCCGAAGGCCGAAAAGACAAATAACCCATATCCACTATACACTCTAGTAAGATATCGCAGGATACGGTTAGATTTGGCATCAACAAACATGCTGCATCAAAATTCATACACCACAACAGGACAAAGCACATGAGAGGAAATGTGAAATACCAAAGGGATATAGAATCATTACGACAATAAAACATAGTTTTTTAAATTAAAATCCAGAGTAGCAGAACCAACCACAAAAATATTTAACCGAAGGACAAGGACTCCGTATGCTATAACGTCGCCACCGCCTGTCAAGCACCCAATTCTGGGACTGAATGCCTAACAATGATGACCAAAAACTATATAAACAGTATGACCAACAAACCATAGTAATAGTGACAATAGGTAAGTTTTTACTACTATTATTATATTTATATAAGATTTCCCCTGCGGAAATCTGATGAGCCAGTCCGGTTCACTTCTTCTTAGCAGCGGCCTTAGTGATCTTGGCACCAGTTGGATCCTTCTTCTCAACACTCTTGATGACACCAACGGCAACAGTCTGTCGCATGTCCCTCACAGCAAATCGTCCAAGTGGGGGGTACTCAGAGAAGGTCTCAACAACCATGGGCTTGGTGGGAACCATCTTCACAAATCCAGCATCACCATTCTTCAAGAACTTGGGCTCCTTCTCCAGTTCCTTACCAGATCGTCTGTCAATCTTTGTCAACATCTCAGCAAATTTAACAGCAATGTGGGAGGTGTGACAGTCGAGAACAGGAGCATATCCTTGTCCAATCTGGCCAGGGTGGTTCATGATGATGACCTGAGCTGTAAAGTTTGCTGCTTCCTTTGCAGGATCATCCTTGGAGTTGGAAGCAACATAACCACGCTTGAGATCCTTAACAGCAACATTCTTCACGTTGAATCCAACATTGTCACCTGGAAGGGCCTCTACGAGAGATTCATGGTGCATCTCCACAGACTTAACTTCAGTAGTCAGCCCAGTGGGGGCAAAAGTAACAACCATACCAGGCTTCAGGGTACCAGTCTCAACTCGTCCAACAGGGACGGTACCAATACCACCAATCTTGTACACATCCTGAAGTGGAAGTCGAAGGGGCTTGTCTGATGGTCTCTTGGGCTCACTGATCAAGTCAAGGGCCTCAAGAAGGGTGGGACCCTTGTACCAGTCAAGGTTGGTGGACCTCTCAATCATGTTGTCACCCTCGAACCCAGAAATGGGGACAAAGGGGATCTTTTCTGGGTTGTACCCGACCTTCTTGAGATAGGATGAGACTTCCTTCACAATTTCATCGTACCTTGCCTTTGAGTACTTGGGAGTGGTGGCATCCATCTGTAAACAACAGTTGATGTCATGTGACAAGTTAGAACTGCTTCTGAATAACTACAACAATGGCTGATATCGAATACCAATTGAAATATAAAACATAAGGCTCACCTTGTTACAGCAGCAAATCATCTGCCTCACACCAAGAGTAAAAGCAAGTAAAGCATGCTCTCGGGTCTGACCATCCTTGGAAATACCGGCTTCAAAACCACCAGTGGTGGAGTCAATAATGAGGATGGCACAGTCAGCCTGGGAGGTGCCAGTAATCATGTTCTTGATAAAGTCACGATGTCCAGGAGCATCAATAACAGTGCAGTAGTACTTGGTGGTCTCAAACTTCCACAAGGCAATATCAATTGTAATACCACGTTCACGCTCAGCCTTGAGCTTGTCCAGCACCCAGGCATACTTGAATGACCTCTTGTTCATCTCAGCAGCTTCCTTCTCAAACCTCTCGATAACACGCTTGTCGATACCACCAAGCTTGTAGATCAAGTGACCAGTGGTAGTCGACTTACCAGAGTCGACATGGCCAATGACCACAATGTTGATGTGGAACTTCTCTTTACCCATTACAGGATTTCCGAAAGATAACTGAAATCACAAACGGATTACCAAAACTCAATCAGCATAGCTTGAATAGACTACAAGATCATCACAACATGGATATTCGTCAACAAACAATAAACACACTGCAGAGCCATGGGCATAACATAAGAATGAAAAAAACAACTAACTTCAAAGACTAATGAAAAATACAGGGAGATGCATTACTATTAAAGAACTCAGTCCCTTAGATGTTCTTAAAGATTTGCAATCATGTCTGCAAATCATTACAGGTCTGTAGGATCATCACTGTTTCCAACAAATAACAACTCACAACAATAATCTCAAAAAGAAATCTCTCATTTTTGTAATCTCAACAAAATACGTAATGGGAAAATATAGTTGCTCCTGAAATTCCCCAAATCAACAAGATTAAAAAAATTTAAGGGATATTTTCAAAAAGCAACACCTATTACTATGGCTTCAAGGGAACGAGTCACATGGAACTGATCAAATCCACAAACCAGAAAATGAAGCATAATAGCAAAAGGGATTAATATTTTACAAAAATATAGGGACAGAGTATATAATAATACCAAACCATCATTCAGATGCATGATTGTACTTCATCAAAATATAACCAAATATCAAAACAAAATATTATCTTTTTTCCGAATCCTAATTAAAGAGGCATGAGAACGGATTGAACAGAACCATAATCCAAAAACAAAATCAGATGGAAAAAAAAAATTCCCAAACATGATCAGAAAATCGACACACCTAAAACCCACATGCAGTTTATACGAAAATCCTGATCTAATCACAAACACCAACAAAACCCAGTTCACAAATTCATAAACAAACAACAAACAAAAGGAGAATTTTTCAAAAGCTTTCGAGACATGAACATCTAAAAAGAATTAGAGCTAAATCGGAGAAAGAGAATCGCAACTGAATTTATTAAATAAAAAATAAACGCTGTAACAAAGAGACAAAGATTTCAACCTGAAGAAACGGAGGAGAAGAAGTGGAAAAAAGATTCAGAGGTCTCTCTAGCCGACTTTGGTGTGATGAGCGAGACAGAGCAGAGGATGAGAAAAGTGAGAGGAGCCTGTGAATTTTTAAATAGAAGCCAATGGGCTTCACTGTGGTTAGGTTTTCATTTTCCGCCCTTGGATCTTGGGGGATTTGATCTAACGGCTGTAGTGTTTACTTGCTGCTTAGGCAGCTGATGTCGTCATCCATGCACGTGTGACGTGTCATAATGCGCTGCGCTGGCATATTATACTTTCGGGTAATTCCATTTCGCTCTTTTTACTGCTAACGACATTCATTGAATATTATAATTTTTTAACTAACTCTTAACGGGAATCAAATATACAATCTGCCAAAAAATGACACTCGCAAATTTATCAAATGCTATAAAGAATAACATCCATCAAATATTGTAATTTATCACTCGTTTTACTTTTCTTTATTTTCTGCCCAAAAATATCACTTGCAACAATTATAAAAATCCGTTAAAGGTCATGTAGAGAGCTTGTAGCTCAAGCGTTTAAAAAATTACTTCTTTTTCTCGGGTAAAAGAAGTACCAATTTATCGGGTAAAAAAGCAACAACACTCTTTGCATTTTTGCACTGCGGTGATATCTCACTCTCATTACTCTTTTGCATACTTTTGTGTTGCCCATTTGTATTCCTTCTTTTATTTTTTGTTATTTGATTCTCATTAATTTTTTGGAGTAATTATTTGATTCTCATTCTAATTACCCAATAAAACACAAGATTATTATAAAAGGAATAAGTACAAATGAATAAAATGGCAGTGTGAAACCGCACGTTACACCCACATATATCCAAATAATTTCTAGACCATACTACATTTTTCCCACAATGCCATTTTAGAGTATTTTTAACATGGGAAATGTTCAAATTTTATTTTAATTCCTACAGACCAGTATATATATGCTATTAAGCGAAAATGGCATGTACTCGGCATTTGTACTAGAACATGAAACAATCTTCTGCTTCTTTTTAGCTCGAGGAAATTAAATTAGAACCAAAATAGACACAAAACCCACCAGTAGAATATCTTGCATGTACTCAGCAAATTATCAGAAATTGAAATTGACATATCTCCCTTAATAATACGCAACAACTCATTTCGCAAGTGTAAAATCCGATCATGTGAGGTGGACACATAACGACACTCCAACGATTACTAAGTCGGGCGAGAAGTGGGGGAAAGATTGACAATTGCCAATGCTGCCAGACTCAATGAGTTGTTGATCCAACTGAGAATGGTCTGATCTTGTTGCTCCCCATTAAGATAAATAGGATTCAATAAAGAAGTATTTGTTGCTGGGAGATGCTTGGGTGGACATGGCACCGAGCCATCAACATAGCCAAAAAGGTCACGACTGCGAAGAATGGGAGATATTTGAGTTCTGTTGAGCTTGATGGTAACAATAGGGGAAATTGCGGGTGGAGTAGCATGGGTGGTGTGGCAGAATTGTTGGTTGGAGGTGATGGTGGGTTTGCATTATTGGTGTAGACAGGAGCAGCACTTGAGTTGTTGATAGCCATGAGAACGTAACAAAATTAATGCGTGAAAGCTTGCAAAACCAATATAGTCCTATACAACACAAAGCTCCTCATTCAAAAGAACCAGAGGATAAATAATTGTCATTCAAATAAGATGAATTCAAATTCAAAAACTTAGTAGACTTATCCACGTCAGACCTTGGTTTAATATTTACTCCATAAACATTTCACTTGAATAATGGCCCATTTAAACCAGGAATGAGTGACAAATAACCTTTTGTGACTAGCATGTCTTAACTTTATTTTTTTTATACAAACAATATTATATTTTAATCTAATCTAAATTATGGATAATGGGATTCGAACTCGGGTGCAAAGTGAGAAGCACATCCACTCTAGCCAACTTGACTAAGCTCATTTATGTGCATGTGTTAACTCTTCTTTGCACATGGTTAACAATTTTTAATAGAAGTTTACCGATGTCAACAATGAAAAAGTCTAATTGCCACTCATTCATGATTTAAGAGTGACATTTTTCCAAATTAAAGTTGAGTGCTTAAATTGATTTGCATATTTAAGTTAAGAGATATTATTTTTAAGAAGAAAAAAAAATTAAGAGAGTTTATTCGTAATTTATCTTATAAATTGCAAATTTAACAAAAATATTAATCATAAAGCCCCGTTTGGTTCATGGGAAAGGATGCTTTGGGAATGAGAATTCAATTACTTTCTCATGTTTGGTAAGTCCAGGCATGGGAAATGGTTGCCTGGCACATGAGAAAGTAGGAGGGAAAGTGAAGCCCTCCTGTTATCTTAGGTTTTGTTTTTCCTCATCATGGGAAAGTTTGTGAAAATGAGTCAATATTTAATGCATAATTTTCATGACTATTTTGTCCATATGAACAATTTAGAATTACAACGTATCATTAAATGCAATTTTTTTTTATTTGATTTAATATGGGTATAATTGGAAAATTATACAAATTTTGTTTTTCATTCCTACTCAAAACAAACATGGGAAAGGAAACAAAGTGAAATCTCCCGGATACTTTCCCGACATTACTAAACGTGATAAAGGAATCTTTCATTCCCATTCCTTAAAAAATGACATGGAAAATGATTTCCCCTCAAATCCATTTCGTAAACCAAACGGGGCCTAAGATTAATAAATATTTCCATAATTCAAGTTTGGTCGATGTACATTTTACTTTTCAACATAACTCCAATACATAAAAATTCTTCTTTCTGCATTACACAAGAGGGAGCTTTTGCTAATTTTCAAATTTAGAAAGAAAAACACACACACACACACACACACACAAAACCTCGTGGCATCACGTGTCTACTTCCTCGTCTCTCCAGCTCGAGCTCCCTATCGCTCTTCTTCACGAACGCTCAGGTCGAACAGCCCCCCCTTTCATTTTTCTGCTATAGCTCAGGTTCGTATCTCTCTATTATGGCTTTTGTTAATAAAAAGCACGCTATGTTCTCTATGTTTGATTCAGCTCTCAGCTTTCTCTATGTCTGGTTCTTTGTTTGAAAGCCCAACCTTTTGTTTGTTATTTGTCCGACTGAAATGAATTGATTTTAACACAATTTGCTCTGGGTTTCGCCAATGGGTTTAGGTGTTCCTGTCACTTCTCAGACGATGTTGGAGAAATTTGTTTTCTGGGTTTAGTTTTGAGATTTTGGATTCTGGGTTGGCCTGATTTTGTTCTCATGTTTACTTGGAGGTCATCTTTTATTAGTATCAGTAAAATCAAAACGTGTACTTTGATGTATGTGATTTTTGGCTGACTGAATACAATCGCGTATGTGATTATAGAAAGAAAAAAAAAATGGTGCTTTGAATTTTATTTATGTTTCTTCTTTGTTTCAAAATTTAGGTGCTTTTGTTTTCATGCTTCGTTTTCTGGTCTTGATTGAATTAGTTTCATATGAGTCGTTCCCTTGAACCAATAGGAATAGGTGTTGCTCTTTGGAAATCCCTCTGAAATTTTATTTTTCATATTTGATTGGGAAGAAATTGCAGGAGCAACTGTATATTTTTGTTGTTGTTTACTTATTTATTTATTTATGGTTGAGCTTCTGTCTATGCTTTGTATTTATCTATCTGCTGATGAAACGGCCATGGTTTGATGAACTGAGAAAGTATTCCTTTTGTTGTGTATAAGTTTAATTATAATAAAACTAATTGTCTGATTGAGCTTTGACAATTTGTATGTTGTGATTTCAGTTTTCTTGGTGAAAGTCCATAATGGATTAGGAGGCCCAACCAAATTAACAAGTTCAGCAGTAAAAAACTTGGTGCTTCCCATCTTTCGGTAATCATTCAGTGAAATGATTTCTGTTTGTAGATATGGCTTTAGAAATAGTTACATGAACAGAAACTTCAGTAGGCTCTGTTATGAACATTCGTTTCATCAATACTTGTCTAACCCGCAAAGGATGGCTGTTCTTTCATATAGTTCGAATCCAATTTATAGCACTTTGAGGCCTATACAGTATTTGAGTCAAACCCAAATTGACCCAGTTCCCAAAATTGCTTCAAATGGATTTCTTGGTATATATGAGCGGTTTTTGTTGTATAACTTTTACTCAACCAAGCCCCCTTCGCGATCTTTTAGAAGGAGAGAAAGTAGAAGAGTCAAATCCAGTAAATCAACTCTTGATGAAGTCCAATTTCAAAGGGCCATATCCCAGTTGTTGCCTAGATTTACACCTGAAGAACTTTGCAATGTTATAACTCAGCAAGACGATCCTATTGTGTGTTTAGAGTTGTTCAATTGGGCATCGCAACAGCCACGGTTCAAACATGATGTTTCTACTTATCACATTACGGTCAAGAAAGTTGGGGTAGCTAAAATGTATGAAGAAATGGATGATGTTGTCAATCAAGTGCTTGCTATTTCCTACATTGGTTCTGAGGCACTTTACAATTCCATTATCTATTTTTTCACGGAAGCTCGGAAGTTGACTAGAGCTGTCAATATATTTAAACACATGCAGAATAGCAGAAACTTGAATTGTAGGCCTTCAATTAGGACGTATAATATTCTTTTTACGGCCTTTTTGAGTAGGGGATCTAATTCTTACATAAATCACATGTATATGGAGACCATTAGGTGCCTGTTTAGGCAAATGGTGGATGATGGGATTGAACCTGATATTTACTCTTTGAATTCTATGATTAAGGGGTATGTACTTTCCCTTCATGTCAATGATGCACTTAGAATATTCCATCAGATGGGTGTGGTCTATAATTGCTTGCCCAACTCATTTTCGTATGATTATCTCATCCATGGGTTATGTTCCCAAGGCCGAACAAACAATGCTAAGCAGCTGTGCAATGAAATGAAGAGTAAAGGGTTTATCCCAAGTAGTAAATCATACAACTCGCTTGTGAACGGTTTGGCTCTTAATGGAGAGGTTGAGGAGGCAGTGAAGTATTTGTGGGAGATGATTGAGAAGCAAAGATCAGCTGAATTCATTACTTATAGGACAGTGCTTGATGAAATCTGCAGACAAGGAAGGGTGGGAGAGGCAATGAGGTTGTTGAAGGAGTTCCAGGAGAAAGACCTTCTGAATGGGCATACTTACAGGAAGCTTCTATATGTGCTTGAAGATGACTATGGAGATTCGAGTGCCCACTCTCAATTCAGGTAGTGTCATTGATCATCTGTGAGCACATCTTTCCAATTACTTTGATGTTATCTTCCACAAATCTACCAGACTGCCAGTATTGTTAGTGCGGGATTGTGCCTAAATTAGAGCCTATATGTAGTTGGCAGCTGGTGTATGGCAAAATTTTCTGATTAGGTTGTTGATAAGTGGATCTGGTAATTTGGATATGAAGAAGCAATAGTATAAATTTTGAATTCTTTTATATACCTGTCATATCAGTCACTTGTAGCCTAATTGGCTGTAAGATTTATACAATCTTTGTAACAAGTGTTTGGACGAAGCTTTTTATATACCTGTCATATCAGTCACTTGTAATAAGTTTTATCTATTGGAACAGGTTGAGTCTCGACCTGTTTGATTGGGAAGTATGTTATCTTGGAGTGATAGTTATTAGTTTGCAGCTTACTCAATTTGCTTAATTGGATGTGAATAAACTCTGATCCAGTGTTTCCTTCATTGTTGCAGATAACTGAGTTCTAAAAGTTGCTCTTCTTTTACTGTTGAAGTTAAGCCATTGCATCACTACATAGAGTTTGACAATCACGAAAAATGTTGCCATTTGGTTGAAAATCAGTTTAGGCAATAATAACATTTTAGCTCACCTCAAACAGTGCTGTTAAGAAATCAGCACAACCCTCTCTACGAGAGCTTGCTGCCAAAATATGTATTCACCGACATCTCTTCCACTGGCACATGCTCTTGTGGCATCCTCCTCCTCGTCCAGGGTAAATCCAAGTGATCTGGAAGACTCTTTACTCCAATTGGTCCAAGAGCACCACCATGCCTCCCTCAGAATCCACAAACTCACTGGTTAGTCCCCCCAACACTTGATCTTGGGTTTCTTCCTTTATATTGCAAAAGTTCTTAACTATTGTAATGAATTATTTACTAATTAATTAATTAAGCGTAATGTAGGTGATTATGGCAGAGAAGGCACAGAATGAAGCCACTAAAAAGGCAGTGTGTGTGGCAGAGCTTCTGGTGGAAGCAGTGAACGGTGGGGTAAAAGAGCTGTTTATAAAGGAGAAACGAACTGAGCTTGAAATACGGGCATCGACTGCCACCATTTCCTCCTTTATCCAACAGACTGATCAGTGGCTCTCATTCACTCGTTCTATTAACACTGCCATTAAGGTTTGTTTAACTTTAAAAAAATAAAAAAGAATAATTAGCTTTTAAGAAATGTGGACTGGAGTCCCAACAGAATCCAGCTTGTGCATAACTTTCCAAAATATCCACATGTAATTTTCATGCATAGCATGTGTTGTTTTGATTTTTTTTTTTTTTTTTTTTCTCTTTTTAGCCTATAGCTGTGCCAAAATTTCTTGTCATAGCTGAGTCAAACTAATCCTTTGTCATGCATTTTGGTCTTTTTATTCTGATGTTTGCAAGAGTGGGATGTGCTTATAGTTTGACTCTTTTGTGGGTTTGTTTGTGTCATAGGAAATCGGAGACTTTGAGAACTGGATGAAGATAATGGAATTTGATTCTAAAAGCATCAATGCAGCTATCCACAATATTCACCAAGCATAATCTCACAGGTCACAGCAACTTGTTTCAACAGTCACCGTTCTATTTTTTGTTTCTCAGTGAAGTACCTTAATCATGGAGTGACTTAGTACTGCACTTCATAGGCCACCTTCTGTCCCGCCCGTTTTAATGCCCAAATTTGTTTTGCGGACACTCTGCACTTTGCCTTCACCAATCTCTCTACAACCAAGGGAAAAGGAAAAGGAAAAGGAGGGTTTAGCAACGAGGAAGGCACTACTTGTGTTTGAGTTTTTATCACTGTGCACTTTTCCTCTAACTTGCTAATTTGTTGGACGTTGTCTTGTGGAGTCTCCACCTTTACCTTTTTGCCATGTATTTTTAACTGCTGTATCTCATTAACAAGTTACTTGGAATACCATATCGAAAAATCAACTAGGAATTCAATGTAGTTTGATCTTGTCAAAAATTATTGTCTCTGCGTTGAATGGTAGTGCATATAATCCCCCAAAAAAATAATGAAAGAAAATTGATCAGAGCGTATCATTAAACTTGACAGACTTTGGCGCAATCTAGGCTTGCGAGTTGCGACTTCTCTTCTCCTCAATACCTGACTGAGAAAATCTACGTCGAAGAATGTCTAGAACCTCTTCCATTTTCACATCTTTAAGGGCTAGCAGAACCATGGCATGATAAAGCACATCTGCCATCTCTGAGGCAGCTCGTGGCTTATCTTCATTGTCCTCTAGTGTCCGGCATAGCTCATCTGCCTCTTCCCTGGAGCAACAAAGAAAACCACGAACAAAGGTGTACTGGTGAAAATTAGGATGGTTCATTTACTAACATAGTTCTCTGGTAAGGATAAAATGCATATGAGTTCTCTAGTTCCTTTTGGTACCTTTGATTTCTTGAGAAGTTATCACACAAGGTAAGAGAAACTTATATCATTACAACTCAAATCTGACACAATTTGACAATTTGAACATCATACCTTATTTTTGAACACAACAACTTCTCATCAAGTAGTAGTCGTCGGGTCCATGAGGGCTTTCCACTCTCTGGGACTTCTAATTCTCCTTTTCGCTGGGCAATTGTAGACTCCAATGAGTACAAAGTGGTCAATGCTAATTTATCTTCTTTGTCCTGCCACAAATTATCTGAATCACTTACAATACACTGTAATTTGACTCATGAATGAATGATAAAAATATGTAAGCTCTTTTAGTTCATTAAATGCTGAAAACCTGTTGATTTTCTAACAAATCAAACACTGGGGTGTAATAGCAAGTCTCTGATCCTGTGTGGCAAGTAGGTCCATCAGGCTTCCCGAGGTAAATTATCTGAGAAATAAGTCTGAGTTAAAGTAATTAAATCAAGCACATAAACATAGATTAAAAAATATATTCCAATTAAACTAGCAAGCAACATACAGAGTCTCGATCACAATCAAGGAAGATGTCATGGACATTAATGAAATTATTGGAGGTCTCTCCCTTTGTCCACAACATTGAACGTGACCGACTGTAGAATGTTGCTTTCCGTGAGGAAACTGTTGTAGCCACTGCTTCCCTGTTCGCAAAGCCTTGCATCAAGATGGCTCCCGTGTCAACATTTTGAGCTATGGCTACCGCCAAACCTCTGTTATCCCATTTTACACTATCTAACACTGTTTCAACCTGAAATAATACTAACAGATATTACAGTCTCATCCATTAGCATATCCAAAATACTATCTTGATACTGGAGAAAAAGGAAAAACATGATGTACAGAATAAATTAAGACAAAACCTATAATATCTGTCACCAATATGAGATATGGCACTACAATATCTGTCACCATGCGCATAACTAATTTTACATGGAGCAGTTATGGCTGATAATCAGAAGACAAAAGCTATGGGTTCAACAGAACTAAACAGCTGAATCAAACAAAGGTGGCAAGATAAAGTATATGCTAATATGGAAAAGATAAACCATACAAGTCTTATTGAAAGGTTCATTCAAGAGCAAGAATACAAAATATAATACAAGTGAAATTTAAAAACTTGGCATCTGTGGCAAATCACACAGATGAAGTGGCATCTGGTTTTCGTCTAGTTGTTATACCTGTGTTTTAGCTTTCTTTTGTGGTCATTTTGACCACTGCTGTATTTTCTTGCGATATGCAATAAAATTTGTTTCTTTAAAAAAAAGAGTTCTTAGAAAATGATAAATTAAAAAATGTTTAAACAGTAGCCAGATGAACATGATGAAGTTATTAAAAAGACAAGTATAAAAAATCAAGGATTACAAAGTTGAGACTGTTTGATTATCAGATAATCAATATGAAGAGAGAAAATAAATCCTTTTGGAATTATTGATAACACAACACTGGAATGATGAACATCGTTAAGACAAAAAACATTAGAGCAGCAGGAACACCGTTCTCAAGTTTTGTCCTATCTTTTGCCAATAGGTTTTATGGTCCTCCTATGTCCTATTTAATATATGGTAGACACTTACCAGCACTCTCCTAAGAATGCTTCGAAATTGTATGGAAATTTGAGTCTTTTTGAATGCACAATCAGAGAAAGAAGTTTGTAAAATTAAGTTTTGATTTCTGACAATTGGCTGTTACCCACACACATATGTGACAAAATCTGGCCGAAGAAAAGGAAATTTGAGTCTTTTTGAATGCACTCTCAGAGAAAGAAGTTTGTAAAAGTAAGTTTTGATTTCTGACAATTGGCTGTTACCTACACACATATGTGACAATATCTGGCTGAAAAAAAGGAAAACTATAAGTATTTGTGAATAATATGAACAGTAAAGAAAGAGGGTCAGTATGTAGAGTTCACATGTGGCCAAATATAGCTACACTTATACGTAAACTATTGGGGAACATTGGGTACTTTTCTAGAAGATGAATCATGCTAAAGAAAAGGCATTGAAATGAACCAGTGTAACAAAATTTTATTTTATTTGAGAAACCGCTAAAGAACGGGTGTTATATGTAGTCGGTATTGATTCTATAAATGCTGATGGGTTTATCAAGATAAGATAAAAACAAAGAAGAATCCTTCTGTATCACTTATTAGAAATATTTCTATGTAATACTTTTTTTTTTGGAAGTGATGAGCGTACAGTCCAGATGGTATCGAACAACAATGGACAGCTTCAAGATATGCTAACGAGTAAAAACCATCCAGCAATATCATTCTCTATTTTCTCTGTTTAAGACCTGTAAGTCCGTACCACAACACAACAGTCCGGGTATGATCTGACTGCATAAATAGGTACCTTTGATTGAAGATGAAGGTCCCTGTCCAAGTTGTTGGTGGAGGCATAAACAAGGGAACTGCTCTTTCTCGTGAAATTGTCTCTACCATGATAATAATTGTTAGAAACGGAAGGACGGCAGGGGAAAGAAACTCTCACAGATTGCAGACAGTGTAAATGTGAAATCGCCATTCATGTCAAGCTTCCTGTGACAACATATACAAGATGAAGCCATTTCTCACCAAAAAGGAACTAAAAAGGGAAAGAAACAAAAAACACAACGCATTCATGAAAAAAAGTCCACAATGATATACCTAGGAATCAAAGAAATATGTGTGAGGTACTCAAGATTAAAATATTCAGAGGAAATGAGACAAAGGAAATGATATCTGCAATAATAAGATAGATAAATCGTGAGAGTAATGACAGTACTATGGGCGTCTCTGTGTGTGTGTGTGTGTGTGTGTGTGGGTGTGTGAGAGAGAGAGAGAGAGAGAGAGAGAGAGAGAGAGAGAGTACCATAGCGGATAAATTCTTCCGGCACCCTTTTTCTGATTCTTATGATGTCCTGAATAAAAAGAAAGGTTTATGATAATGCTCTGTAGATAATAAAAAAAAAAAAAAAAAGCAGGTTCACCCAATGATCAGACTTGAAAAAGCAGTCCCACACAAAAAAAGAAAATGAAAAAAGACTTGCAAAGGTAAGAACTAATAAAACAGATAATCACATATTGGCCTAACCTAGCATTGGATATCTCGTCACATAACTAACATATGAAGTGAATATAATTCTACAACAGATTCATGCTGATGAGGCAAATATAGAACATCATTTCCCTAGAGAGCTTTTTTTATTTTTATTTTTGCAGTGATTTCGTATTGTAATCACCCACTGGCAATGGATGTCACCGTAATCTGGTTCAAGTAACCTCCTTTGAAGAGGGCTTGATTAAACCAGTTCAATCCTGTCTGAAATTTTGAACTTGCATTAGCAACGACCCCGGCAGCAACATTAGGGGGAAGACCAACTTTATCAAGCACAATGACAAACTCTTCCTAAGCTATTGCTATAACCACATAACTGTCACCGCATTCATGCAGTTCAACTAATCAAGGACTACATGGGCGTTTTGTTGTGAAAACTACGCTGCTGTAATGTGAATGATTGCTGCAAAACTAGAACTTGAAAGTGTCCAACAAGTTTGGAATCACACTAAACACATTTTGAAGATGCCCTTCTACTTTCTTTCTTTTTGAATACATGCTTAAATTAATAAAACAGGGAAGACCACTGCACAACAACAAAGGCCTAAACAAATCCGTAAAGAGTAAAGACAAAGACCAGGCCAGACAAGGCAAGCAAAATGATCAAACAAGATACTTAAATATACATAACAGTATTTCAAATTCAGAAAGATCACAAGGCTACAAGCCGAATTTCTTTTAGGCTCAACAAATATGTTTTCTTTACAACATCTGCATAAAAGTTCTAATTTTGTTAAACTCCTTGGCTCATATTCGAAGAAAGGAAAACAAAATTTGAATTTTTCCTGTGTCATGAAATCATAAGTTGCAAATAGGTAACTTTAGTTTCATAATCAAAATTCATACAATAAATACAAGTTCAGTTAAGTTGATCTGCAATGATAGCAGAAGAAAAATAACAAAAGAAAAGTATATGTGAATCCAACTCTACAGATACAACCAAATGTCAGCATAGCTTAAATAGGAACCTTGAATTCAACTAGACTAGAAAATAAACCCAATTACCAACCACATAATATCAAAGTCATCCATTTCAAATCGAAAGCTATTCGGATTGTTATCACCATTGAGAGTTTTCAAATTCTAAAGGAATCCCACTTGGGTTTCATTACTGTGTAACCAAATCAATTATCCTTTTCACATTACAAAGCCAATCCAGTTCACATAGTAGATAACAAAAATGGAACAAAACACTAAAAAGGAAAAAGCAGAGCAGAATGCTAAGACATTGACAGAATCAACTCAGATCTGAACATGCTTTTACAAACAGCTCAATTCATAAGTAAAACTAACCAATCCTACAAATGCAAACAACTCAATTCAAGAATCATAACATGCTTGAA